TCGATTTTTCTTTTAACTTCCACAAAATCATCTAGAAAGGATGATTTTCTGATAGTTCCGAACCCGAAGCCCGTCGGAATCATCAAAGCGCCTCGCTTGTGGGCATCTATTGTTTCTTTGCCCAGACGTGTAAGTTTTTTGTATTTGTTTCAGAACATCAAATTAACATCTCATTCGCTTTGCTTTTTCTCTTTTCTTGAGATTTGTTCACATTTCACATGATGCTAGAGGCTCATGTCGTATTGGTAAAGACAAGAAAGTATTGTCTTTTCTTTTCTCATTGTCTCCACTATAGCTTTTTTTATATTATTGGGAGAAATCTCAAGGATGGAACATAGCGTTCCATCTTTGGGATTTCTCATGTTGAGTTTAATATATGAATGAGAATGTGACCTCAGAGTTCTAGCCGATGAAATCAAGAAAACATAATAAGAGAAAGAAGTTTATTCTGGTTTAAATGAGTAGCGGTTTTACATATTTAAATGACTTAGAAAGAGATTACAAAGCTTCAAAGTAGAAATAAATATGACATTTGATATATGAGGATAAGAAATACATAATAGACAAATTAACTGTTATATGTAAAGTTTAAGGGAAACCGACCGACATGACTGGAGGACGAGATAAACCATATTTAGAGAATAAAGAGAATGAGAATAGAGAGAGACATAGGCATAGCTCAAGCACTTCAAAAGCCCAGACTCAAGGCCTGGTGGGTATTTATAGTGTTAGTTCAGGTCTGTAATGTTAAACTATCAACGAGGCGTTTTTTTAGAATTATATCTTAGAACTGTTTTCCATAGGGAGATTTAATTAATTGATATCTAAGAATGGTTTTTCATTATGGAGTTTTAAACTTAAAGGATATGGGATCTAGCTCATTCTCAGATCGTGGCATCTGTTGTACTTTTTATGCTGAAGATGTTTGTTGGTATTGAACAGGTGTGGAATCTCTAAACTTGAGATTCCTTCCATCTTGTGCATGTGTACTTTGATGCTCAAATGGTTCATATGTTACAATAGCACTATCCCCTCCTGCCTCTCGTTTCTGCAAACAGCGCTGGGTACATAGCGAAAAAATCGATTGTTGCTGTTGGCGGCGCCCATAGCGTAGTTGGTAAAGTCAGTCCTCTCAAGCTCAGGCTTCATAGTACAAATCTGGGTGCCGCCAATCGTTTTTGTTTTTTATGTTTACTCACTATTTCAGTTTTAACGGACGCTGCGTTTCAAAAGATGTACTTTCGAAGTAGATTTTGAGTATCCTGCAAAATTACACTAAACTTATAATGATTTTCCATTTTTTTGTGCAGCAAACGTCAAAACAAAAAACGAATTA